ATTGAACCCAGGGCTTGTGCATTCAAGACAAGCTACACTCCAGCTCTCTCAGCCACATTTATTTTATTTTATTTTTGGTACTGGGGATCGAACACGGGTCCTTGTGCTTGTGAGGCAGGCAGTGAGCTAAATCCCCAGCCCTCAGCCACATTTATTAAATGGTCCACCCTTTCTTTACATACCTGAATCCCAGCTCTATCCTAACCATATGCATACGGTGTGTCGGTCTGTTTCTAAACATCATGCCTGTCTCTGTTCACGCTGCAGTGCTACACTGAAGCCATGATCATAAGTTAAATAAGACTTACCATCTTTTTCTTCCAGTTCTTACTGCTTATTCTTGGCCCTTTGCCTTGGCATTTTAGATTAATTATCTTTTATGGTTGCATCAAACTCTCTGTTTGAATTTTGACTGAAAAAGTATTGAATCTATAGATCAATTTGTGAGGTATTGGTATTTTTAAGATACTATTTTATAGAGAAGTCCAGTTCAAGGATATGTTTGTATATCCTTGTCTGTATAGCATCATTTATTTAGGTCTTCAGGAATGTTTAAATCTTTTCCATATGTGTCCTATGTCCTTCACATTTTTACAGCCATTTCTTTTTTTTAAATTTACATTTTCTTCCTGATCGTTACTAATATAAAAATAATTTTCAAACGAACATTTGTATCAAGCAACCTTGCTAAACTCTTAACTATAATAATTGTAATAACTTTTTTAATGGACTTATAGTTGATTTTTTTTTTTTTTGGTACCAGGGATCAAACTAGTGTCCTTGTGCTTGCGAGGCAGGCGGCAGAACCACTGAGCTAAATCCCTGGGTGTTTTATTTATTTTTTAAAATAAATTTTATTTTATCCCATTCCTTCCCTCAAGCCCCCTCCCAGTGTTTCAGAATTAGGAATTTCATACATTGCTTACAGCATTCTTAGATAACCCTACATTGGCCAAATTAATTGTTTGGCCAGAGACTGCTTTCCTTGAGGGAGAGTACACAGTTACACTTCAAAAGCACCTCTGAGGCGTCTGTGGTGGCACACTCCTGTGAGCCTGGTTACTTCGGAACAGGAGATAAAAGCAGGAGGATATCTCCTACTTGAGGCCAGCCATAGCAATTTAGCAAGAGCCTGTCTCAAAATGAAAAGGGGCTGATGTTGTAACTGTGCTAGAATTCTTGCCTAGAGTGTACAAGGCCTTCAGTTTGAGTACTACTGCACAAACAAGAGCCTGGCTTTTGTTTTTCTAATATCCAGACTCTGGCAACTTTTATTGCAGCTAGACCACCATAAACTCGTATGATTGTGTTACAAATTATAAAAAATTCAAGACCACTAATACCTATCAACTTTTAACAATAGAGGCAGGATCTTAGAGATAATCTGGTTTGATACTATTAAGATAGTCTAGGATTATCTTGTAATTTCTCTACCCCAGCCCTAGAATCATCCATTTCTCCAAGAAGTCCTGGTTCTTTTTATTAGAGTTATATAGAAATTGGGATCTGGGCTCATTGGTATGGAGGTGTCATTACTTCTGGGCCCTCTCACAATGAACATAACTATGTAAGTAATATATGTATATAATCTACTGCACGTGTACACACATATCTGCTTTTCTCTAATCATACCTGTCTTTTTCTTTGAGAGAGGAGAGAGAATGGAGACAGAGGGAAAGGAGAGAAGGGAGAGAGGCAGGAGAGGAAAGAATAGAAAGGAGATAAGGGAGGGGAGAGTGATAACAACATGTGTTTATATTAAACTAATATAAGTAAGTTGAGTTCAAGCAGATAGCTCTAACTTCTACTGGTGAATCTGATATCACCAGATTCATTTTTGGCTTCCTTTCTGACCTATCTATAATTTTTTTGTCTGAAGAAGAAGCCTGATTTCTACTCTCAGTTCATTTATTTCTTGAGCCCCCAAATATTGTCTAAAACAGTTTAAAAATTTTGTATCTGTACCCCTGTGAAGAATAAGTTTACCAATAGGAGAGCACTGTTTATTACAATGTGTGGTTTCTTTTATCTGTAGCCTTCCAGATTTAATATTTGCATTGTAGGTTAGGTGCCTTGTGCTAATGTTGCAATGTTCCTAGAAAGTAAATGTGTTTCTTTGAATCTGAAGTCTAGAGCATGTTTGGAAAGGATTCAAGAGTTGGAGGACTTGCTTGCTAAAGAAAGAGACAACTCTCGTCGCATGCTGACTGACAAAGAGAGAGAGATGGCGGAAATAAGGGATCAGATGCAGCAACAGCTCAGTGATTATGAGCAGCTTCTGGATGTGAAACTAGCCCTGGACATGGAGATCAGCGCTTACAGGAAACTCCTGGAAGGTGAAGAAGAGAGGTGAGGCCCTCCAGAGTCACCTCACCTTATCCACCTCTAGCCTCTACTCCTTTTAAGGAAAAGTAAAAAAAATTTTAATAATTAAGGCAACTCTAAATATTTTCTCTCATTTCTTGAAACAGCAAGGTGTAAGTGTAGTAGTTGATCAGGGAGTTTTAGTTGAAATTTTAAATATTGGAATTTGTCAGGATGAACTCTTGAGACTTTAAATGTTTTGGTGATTTAATATGTTGGAGAATACCAGATTTGCTGAAAGAGACTTTATAGTTATATTTCAAATCTGGTTAGCATAAGATCCTTTTAATACCTGTCCTTGGAAAGAGAAGTGGCTGGTAAAGGTTAAAAAGCCAGTCAAGCTGCGGGGAGGGGTATATGGCTCAGTAGTAGAGCACTTGCCTAGCATGTGCAGCCCTGGGTCTCATTCCCAGCCCAGCAAAAATGAAGACAAAAGGTGAAAAGGTAATCCATTTCAAAAGCAATCAATTATGTACACTGTAACTGTAAGAAAATACAGGCATGAAAAGAGAAAAAAGTATAGTGAATACAATAATGACTATAGAAAGAAGGGTAGATAAAATGATTAGCTCAGCCATCATGTTTTCCAAACTTTTTGTTTATGGTTACATTACTGTTTTCTTAGAGAAACAATTCAAATTACTACTCTTTTTAAAAACAAAATTGATGGGGGGCATCTTAGGATAAATAAATGTCTTCTTAGTTAAGATGTTAATCACGTTGTCTAACAGATTTGTCAGTAATGTCTCACTTTAGAAATGCCTGTCTAGGATGTTAACCCTTTAAAGAAAATTTAGGTAAGAAGGGTGAGCACTTCACAAAGAATACTTTCTTTTCCCCATGCAGGTTGAAGCTCTCTCCAAGCCCTTCTTCACGTGTGACCGTGTCCCGAGCGTCCTCCAGTCGCAGTGTACGCACCACTAGGGGAAAGCGGAAGAGAATCGATGTAGAAGAATCTGAGGCAAGCAGCAGTGTTAGCATCTCGCATTCTGCCTCAGCCACTGGGAATGTGTGCATTGAAGAAATAGATGTTGATGGGAAATTTATTCGCTTGAAGAATACTTCTGAACAGGTAAAAAAAAAAAAAATAGACTCAATTTTTTTCCAGCAAGGCTTTCCAGTTTGCTGGGCTATTACATAATGGTAATAGTGCTTCATTTTTATTTGGATTTAGTGAGTTTTCACAGAGTAAGGTTTTCCTTTCTCTATGAAATAAAGTAAAAATTAAAATAGGCTAAGGAAGAGGTATGGTGCCCCTTGCGGTTTAAAAATTTTCTTTGTTAATCCTTCTTTTGCAGTCCGGGGTTTTTTCCCATTTGATCATTTTGTCACAGTGGCCTTCCCAAGGAGGAGGAATTACTCTGCTATATAGCCAGAAAAGTGTAAACATTACAAGGATTTTGTGAAAATGGTGACTGTTCTTTCATGGGGATTAATAAAAGCTTTATGAAAGAAGGAACTATGAGCTCAAGCTCAAGTTAAAGGAGTATTTGTGTCTAAATGAACAAATGAACATTAGACTTGATTTATATCAAAGTAGTATGAAGCCCTATCTTGAAGTAATTTGCTTAAAAGTGAACATAAAATAAGCATAGCAGGGATTTCTGAAGTTAGAGTGTGGGCTTTCCAGAGTGTAGTTGTCCTGGCTGAGGCTTTGAAAGTGTGAGATGATACTGGAAGAAAACATGGTCAGGGTTGCAGTGGGATTGATGTATATCTATCACTTCCTAATGTGTATATTTAAGGTCTGCTAAAAATTATTGTGAACATCACTTATATTATTATAAATATTACACCTGTCTTGAATATAGACGAGAAAGAATTGGAAAGAGCAAAGGAGCTCTAGCATTTCCAGTACTAAAGAGAATATCTTGACTAAGGCCTCTTGGTCACAACTTTTAAGAGCAGAATGGCTTCTATTGTGCTATTGTTGTCATTCTACTGTTTTTCCAAAGGCATAGTGGCCAGATATGGGACTGTTCCCGAGCTGGCCTTTAGCCTAATTTACTTTTCTTTGAGTTCAAGTTGGATATAAATGACTGTAGCTAATTGCTTCACTGTCCTGCATCTTTCCTCATTTGTCAGGCAGCTCTGGGATCTAGGGACCAGAGTTGGTAGCTGTCAACTAGGTCTAACTCATTGCATCACCAGCTTGGTTTTGAACCTTTCATACTTTGAGGTAAAAGAGCTAAGTAGGGGAAGAAGCACAAAGATACAGTGAACAAAGGACAGATTTTCTTTTGTTTTAAGCTATTAGAGTTATCTCTTAAAAGCTTAAAGTCATCAAATACTAGGTGTTTGTAATTGTGATTATAACACTGTTGTAAATTTGAAAGACCTACCTGATATTTGGCAGTAAATGTGACTAATTTGGTTTAGTTCACACCCCTTTTAGTTTTGTCCTCTTTAAAATTAAGTAGTTACTAGTTACTGTGGCAGTGTTGAAGTTACTGTTTACTGAATGACAAAATTGTATTTTCTTTTTATGGTAGGAAAATAAGAATCATGGGAAGATATCCATAGAGCTACCTTAGTTTAAAAGACTCATGGACTCCTGTATTGAATTGTTCCTTAACCTTGTTTATATTTAAAGTAACCTTGTTCTATTTTATTTTGTGAATAAGGATCAGCCAATGGGAGGCTGGGAGATGATCAGAAAGATTGGAGACACATCCGTCACTTATAAGTATACCTCACGATACGTGCTGAAGGCAGGCCAGACTGTTACAGTAAGTGAGCTTAGTCACCATTTAGTTTAATTTTATTGTCTGAAATAACAGATGAAGTAGTTCAAAACATTTTTGGCCTGCAGAGAAGCATTTTAGAAATGGGCATTAAAACATCTTTCATATTATTAAGGCATTACAAGTGCTATTAAAGATTTAAAAAATTCTGTCTTATTGAGAGTGGTGAAAGGATTAACCTTTGAATTCTTTTTATCTTGTCTAGTAGATATAAAATAGCTGTCTCTAGATATAAAATAGCTGGTAGCCTCATTTAATTCAGGAGGTATTGCTTAGCTTGAAGAATTCTTAGGAATTTATCACTAGCATGGACCTACACAGCAATCACTAGTGGCCTTGGGTGAGCTTTAAAATTACGAGTAATAATTTGGTGTCCAGGTCTTGTCTCACCCTTAGCTGTCTATCTCTAGGGTTGGTGTAGGGTCTTAAACAACAGTCCTTCCATGATAGCCCCCTAACAAGAGAGACATGGCTTTTAGATATGGTCTAAGGCTCTCCATTTGGAGACATGGGCTGGGTGGCATTCTGATTGTTTTGACTCCTCCGCTGCAGCCTGTTGGCGAGTCCTAGGATGCCACCTGTAACTTACTCTTTGAAGAAGCATGCATCACTGAGCAAATCAGAGATTGCTTTCACTTAATAAGTAGATTTAATAAGCAATAAAATATGTTAACCTTGATACTGCTTTCAAAGAAGGTACAGTGGAGAACTCTGTTAAATAATATAATGCATTCTTTTCTTCAGTACCTCGCATTAAATGTGAATAAGCTCTTTGGGATATGGTAGTGATAAGTGATGCTTCTTTAACGTTGTTCAAGCCATAAGCAAAGATCAATTTAAAATTCTAGAACAGAGACATGATAACCCTAGGTGAATAACTTTAAATTGTCTTGTAGCTATGTTTTAAAAGTAAAATAGGTATGAAATAAATTTTAAAACTATATTTTACTTAATATGCCCAAAATATTATCATTTCATCATGTAATTAGAAAAACAGAATGTAACATACCTGACTAGTAAGGTTTTTTTATAAGTCTTTGAAATTTGGTGTATTTTTACCCTCATAGCACATTTCCATTTGCCTACCATATTAAATGTACTAAGAAGTTCACATAAGGCTGCTCTATTGAATGATATAGTTCTAGAAATACTAGTTTTGGATTGAATTACCAGCAAGATCACTGAGATTTTATGGTAATTATTAGCATTAACCCAGTCTGTGTGATTCTATATAGATTAGTGGAAATTGGCCTAGATCCAGTTCTGTTTTTCAGTTACATCCCAGTAAATGCTGCTATCCATTTGAAATACTGATGGATGATCTGGGAGCTTCAAATGAACATTTGAAAAGGAAAGGTCTCTCCTAATTGGTATTAAATATGCCTGCCATCTCTAGTATATAATAATTAATGGAGGGCCAGGGTTGTAGCTCAGTGATGCTGTGCCTGCCTGGCAAGCGCAAGGTCCTGAGTTCAGTCCCCAGTATCTCCCACCTCCATTAATGGATTGCAGGCTTTTCTGGGTTTGTTTGGTTTTTTTTTTGGGTACCGGGGATTGAACTTGGGTCCTTGTGCTTGTGCAGCAGGCGGCGAAACCACTGAGCTAAATCCCCACCCCGCTTTTCTGTTTTTTCATATGATCTTTGGAGAAGATCAGTATATCCATATATAATTTAGGAATTTGCCCTCATAGAGGTATTGTAGTGATTTATCCTGTGTTTAAACCTAGGTTTTCTGACTGCCGTATTTTCTCCATTCCACTTATTCTTTTCTGCCAATAAATACATTAAAAATTAGGCAGAATTTCTGGGCTGGGGGTTTAGCTCAGTGGTTCAGGCACCTGCCTCGCAAGCGCAAGGTCCCAAGTTCAATCCCCAGTACCAAAAAAAAAAAAAAGAATAAGGCAGAATTTCTGTTAGAAAGGAAATTGTGGTTTTTGTTTGGCCTGTTTCAGTAGAAATTACATTTTCCTTTGAATAGTGGGTGATTTACCTATTTCCCACATTCCCTTTTGGAGCTCAGTCACACCCTGGGCATATGACTCTTTCTGGCTGGAGATACGTGTTTCCAGAAGAATGTTCTAGGTATGCTGTCTGGTGCAGAAGGTCTTACTTTCTGCTGTGGCAGCCAGAGGACACTGTAGAGGGGGATTAGAAGGCTTCTCCTTGGAAGAATGACCCATAGAACCTCTAGAATAATAGAAGGCTAAGGTTACTGAGTGGGCCTGGCCCTTTGGTATGTTGGTAACCCTTGTTCTTCACAATCCCACCTATCATCAGTACCATTTCTGTCCCATTTTATAGATGATAAATGTAAGGAATCTCAAGTTCAGTTAATATGCAGAGTAATTAGGATGTCAGTGCAGGCAGCTTCATGTCAAGGCCCCATGTGTCAGCAAGTGAATTTATCAGATGAGGAAGCTGAGGCCTCCAGAGCTCTGGGAGCTACTTAACAGCAATTCGGAAGATGGGGCGGGGTTCACGTTTCATCATGTTGTGGTCAGTGCCATATGAGAGTGCTGGGTAGATTGATGTTCTTTGTCTCTTTTCCAGATTTGGGCTGCAAATGCTGGTGTCACAGCCAGTCCTCCCACTGACCTCATCTGGAAGAACCAGAACTCTTGGGGCACTGGTGAGGATGTGAAGGTTATATTGAAAAATTCTCAGGGAGAGGTATGGTCATTTTAACAGTATCACTACAATGTCAGATTCACTTGAAAGGTCATCATACAAGTATGATTTCTTCTCAAACAAATTGAAATGTGAAATAACTGCTTAGATCAAGGCTGCTAATGAGTAAATCAAAGTGAGTCAAAACTACAATTTTTAGGATAAATGTTAGTGTATCATAGAGTACATAGGTCCCAGAGGCCCATTATCTGTGTCCAGATATTTTGTCTCCACTGCACATTGGCTTTGTGACTTTGAGCAACTTCATTTCTCTAAGCTTTCTCATTTAAAAATAGCTATCAATATAGACAACATAGATGAGATAAATGAATGAGATAGTCCCTGGGAAGTGCTTATTTGGCATTGTACATTTATCTAGTAAATGCTTATATGATTGACCTCCTTACTAGCTCTCAGAGTGTTCTTGCAACTGTGAGCTTGATGATTGTAAGAGTATACATCTTTTCTGGTGTGTACATTTTTAATGTCATGCTTAGAATTCTTGTTACAGAACCTTACCTCCACTTGTGTGCACATACACAAGTCCTTACCAATAATAGTCTTAGAAATACCAATTTCCAGTTAGCAGCTTTGAAGCTGGTGAAGCTTGGCTTTATCCCTGTCTCTCCCTAGTTAGTAGTGTTACCCAGGTGGTGTACAAAATGTCATTGAGCCTCTATTTAGAGTTTAACAGTCCCTTCTCTTTTGTTGCTGTTGCCATGAGCATGTTCATAAAACTTACACTACGTGGTCTGTGCCTCTTACTTTCCTTTTAATTGTCATACACCTTCGCTATCCCTTTTTGTCTGCTCTGAGAGCTCTAGTTGGCTTGCTGGGAAGCCCTAGTGAATGCCTTGTTCCAGCATTCTTACTTGTTTTGATCTGTTTACCCAGTCTCCTGGATGAACAAGCTCTGTTGATACCTTGCAACAGAATCAGGTGTACACACCAGTCTGAGTGATGCTGAAGTATGAGGGAATGTTAGGATGGCAACTCTGATAGGGAGGCTGGCCGTATTTGTAAGTGCAGGGCTATGCATTTGGAAAATCCAGATAATCTGTTTTATGTCAGCTGCTTTGTCCTGAGAATACAGAAGGAAAGAAGTCACAGATCATTTCTGTCCTCATGAGCCTTCTGTTCTGGAGGAGTGGGGCAACCAGCAAATAAGATAAAGTGTTAAGAAAATTCCTGAAAAATGCAATCAAAGATAAGTTATAGTATCTTAAAAGATTCACCAAAGAGATCTATTTTACATAGAGTTGTCAAGGAAAGTCAGCTGTGAGGAGGTAATACCAGAGGCTAAACCGGAAAGATGAGAGCCAGCAGTTGAGAGAATGGAAAAAGTATTCCCAGATAGAGGGGACAAATGCAGAGGTCTTAAGGCAGGAATGAGTTCTTTGTTTTTTAGGAAAAGGAACCATGACTAACAGAGATGGGGTGAGGGTGAGGTTGTTGGATGTCTCTTAGGGAGAGTGGTATAAGATGAACAAGATGAAGAAAGAGCTTTTGCTGCTGTGCAAGTTGTTAGGGGGACAAATACAGGCAGAGACAAAGCAACTGAGGAGAGTAACTTAGGTTGTGAGGTATTTCTACGTCGAAGAGAAGTCAGCTAGTTGAAGAGATATATCGAAGGTAGACTTGGTAGGATGCACTGATGATGAGGTTAATTTGAAGGCCACTACAGAGACAGCAATTAATTTGAACCTTTAGTTTGTTTGCTTAGGTAACCAGATGGTCCTAGTCTTGAGGAATCTGCAGGAGGAACAACAGGTTCAGCAGGGAGGAAGGTTGAAAGGGAAATAAGAGACTTCTGGCCACATGAAGTTTGAGATGCCAGTAAGGTGTCCAAGGAAAGATTTCTAGAGGGCTGTTGAGTAGTAATTGGAAGCCCAAGCTGGAGATGTTTGGGGTCCTCATCACAGAGGCTGCATCTAAAGTTATGGTACTGGCTGACTGGAAGAGTTTGTCAGTCGAGAAGAGGGCCCAGAATTAAACCTTAAAGAATACTTACATTTCAGGAATAAGTTAGAGCAGAGAAGGGAAAGGTGAAGCCAGCAAGTAGCAGGAAAAGCAAGGAATGTGATATTGGGAAAGCCAAGAAAGGCGTCTGAAGAAGGCAGCAGCCAGCAGGTCTAATCTGTCCTCAAGGAGCTCCTTCTCTACCTGCAGAGGACCAGCAGCAGACCTCTCTGGCATTTGTCAGGGCTCTGTGTGTTAGAAGGAGCACATTGAGGGTGGGGAAATGTTTTGATCCAACTTGACATGGTGCCTGGCTCATAACAGGATTCAGTTAGACTGGATCTTCACTTAAGTTCTGAGAGAAAAAGGTAAATAACAGCATTCGTTATGGGAGTCTGAGGGGTTTGCGTAAGAAGTGGCCATCTTCCCATCCTACCTTGGCTGTAAACATCTGGCAAGAAGACTGCTCTGGATGAGGAATTTATTATCTTCTAAATGAGGAGTGCCCTCGATCTCAGAATGACAATGAAATGGCGTCTGATTTTTTTTTTTTTTTTCCACTGTAGACCTCAGAACAGCTGTGATTTTGGGATGCATCTGGGAATTCATCTCCACATACATTATAGGTTGTCAGGGCACCGGGTAGTGTATACACAGATAGATGCTTTCAGTAATTTACAAACTTAAGGTCGCTGACTCTTCCTCATGTTCTGTGCTGAAGCCCTTGCGTACTTCTTACCCCAAGGAAGCATTTGGGAATCCTACTCAGCTGTGGTGGGTGCTACCACCCAACTGCTAGAATTAACTGCAGCTCTTATGTTCTTACCTCTCCCTGATGAGTGAAATTGGCAGAATATGTGTCCCTCAAAACATTGTTGAGTGATGATTTTGCTCAGATCCAAAAGCACCATTGAGTAGAAATACATAAATAGGCCTTGAGCATCTAGTCACCATACTGTTTTTTCCCTCTCAAAAAGTTGTTCTAAATTAGAACAGTTGTATAGAAGGATACTTGAATGCAGCAGCAGATACAATATAGAATGTCCTAAAGCAGTACTGTATTACTGTAGACATTTCAATGAAGCTACCTTGTTTCAGTTACTTTTCATTGCTGTGGCAAAACACCCAACACCAAGAGTTAAAGGAGGAGAGGTTTATTTCAGCTCACAGTTGCAGTCCATAGTCATCTGGTCCTAAGGCAGAGGGGTATCCCAGAGGAGAAACAGTCCATGGTAAGGAAGGCAGCAAGCAACAGCAGCACCTCCGTTTCCCTTTTATCCCATCCAGGTTTATAAGTCTTTTGGGTGGGGCTTCCCATTACCTACACCCATAACTATGTTAAACCAATTAGTGGACTAACTTAATCCACATTCACACACCTTAGATTGAGCTACCTCCCAAAAGCCCCATGTATGAACATATGAGGCTTTGGGGGGGACATCTAGATATAAGCCATAACACACCTAAAGCTTTCACTTGCCTTCGTATTTCAAACACTGAATATTACTTGGTTGTTTTGTCCATTCTTTTTAACAAGTGTACTGCCTTCTTTCTGCTGGGTTGTATATTAAGTGACTTCTCTCACAAATGAGAGTAAGTACGAATAAAGTTCTTACCTTTTTGATCATCAAATATTTTTGGCACTTAATTCTGTAAGACCACATTTATTTATTAGTAGGTACCAGACCATATTAGTGGCAATCTACAGGTATCCCCAATGATTACATTTGTGTAAGATTATAGGTAGTTGGCTTAAGTCAGGGTTTTTTTTTTTTTTTTTGGTACTGGGGATCGAACTTGGGTCCTTGTGCTTGTGCAGCAGGCGGCAAAACCACTGAGCTAAATCCCTGGCCTGGCTTAAGTCACTTTTTAAATATTTTTTTTCTTTTTGTTGGGGGATTGGGAGTGTCAAAAAATCCAATTAAACTGGCTTTAAAATAACGAGATTTTTTGGGGGTTCAAGTAATCAAAAATTTGAAGATAGTGGACTTGATTCAGTGGCTCACACGGTGTCCCTGAGGACCTGTTTTGTCTTCCTTCCAGGGTTGCCTTCCTCATGGATGATAGTTGCTGCCTGCTTCGTGGGAACGTCATTCCCATTCTTTTTGTGGGAAAGGGCATCTTCCTCCATGGGGTTCCTATCCTGGGCTGTGCTCTTGCTGCACCAACATTGGTCACATGCCTCTCTGAACAGGAGGATAGAGTCAGAGCTTGGCCCTTCTTTCCTCTCCTGTGGGTTGTATATGGCTCCTTACAACACATGTGCTCCATGATGGTGGAAGGACACCCATGTAAAACTGTGGGCTCATATTTAGGCACAGAGGTTGGGGGTGCTAGATTATTAAAACAGCACATGTCACCATGGTAATATATTTTTCTATGAAGGAAATAAAAGTAGGAAGCAGTCTCTCTGTATCTTCCAAAATAGAGACATAGCCGCAGCTTTTGAGTATGTAAATGATTATTTATGCATATGGAGATATATAGCAGTTGACTTTCCATCAACAAAAGATGGCCTTGATTTATAGCATCTGCCGATTTCTTTGGTGTAAATACTGTAACTGTGGCTGATTGTAGCTTCCAACATACGAAGAACACAGAATTGGCAAAGAGATGAGGTCAGTCACCTGGTGCCAGCTGGCCTCAGTGCAGTACTAAACAAAGTAGTGTGCTGTTAGTGCCCAAGGCTCTGAGTGGGGGAGGCTGGCCAATAATGCATTTAATGGGGGAGTGAAATCTGTCATGCAAGACTGTTTTACAGTACTTAAGTTTGAGTACTTTGCTGAGGGTGTGTGTCTGTTTGTGTGTGTGTGGTCTGATGTCTGTTAGCATCTTGGCTAATAATTTTCTGGATCTAAACTTAATTATTTTTCTCTCCAGATTTTTAGACATTATTTAGCACACTTGTTTTCCATGTAGGATTTCTGCATTAGATTAATTGCTTTTTAAATGTTTACAAATGAAAAGTGCTTAACAGTGGGGTTACATTTAAAAGTAGTTGTGTTGAGGTAATTCATATTTAATAAAGCTGGACAAGTTGCTGTTTTCTAAGCTACTCATTAAGGATCATAGTCTTTTTTTTTTTTTGGTACCAGGGATAAAACTCAGGACCTTGCACTTTTGAGGCAGTCAGCGGCACCACTGAGCAAAATACCTGGCCTGAGGTTCATAGTTTTAAGTTACATCATGACCCTTTAGAGCTAGTCCCGTATATAGGGTATATACCCTGCCAGAAGCTGCTGGAATGTGAGGATCTGTAAGATATCCTTGACTCTTTCCTCAGTTTAAGATGAATTGAAGAAGGTTGGATATTCTCAAACCATTTGAGTATCTTTTTTTTATTTATATGCTGCAGTCCCCTAGTTGCTATTTTGATGCAGTGAATTGTAATTGATCTGAGTCACATGCTTTTTTATTACTGTTAACTCACTTGAGATAGATGGGTTCTTGTAAAATGGCTGCATTTTGTAAAGGTAGACTGGTTTCACAGAATTGAAGTTTCTACCTAAGAGACTCAAGATGGCTCACCTTCCCAGTCCTGCAACAGTAATCACAGTCCCTGCAAAAAATCTGTCCTACTACTTTCATTTACAAAATATATCCTTAGACAAATGTCAGATTGAAGCCTCATTTCTCTCTCTTTCATTTGAGACTAGCTGTGCTGTGTTAAATTTCAGATAGGCTTTTGCAGAAGTAATTTTACTGTCTTCTGCTGTGGAGTTATCTTTCTTGAGTGACCTTAGGACAGGATACAGACTAAAATGAGATGCTTTGCAGCACTCTAGGACACACTCATTTACTAGCTGCCAGATCATCAGGTTAGCCTTGTGCTTAAACAAAAACACTGCTGCATTTGCACCACATCAGCATTCTCTACAGGAAAGTAATCTGTAGGAGACTTTCAGTAGAAAATGGAAATAGACTCTTTCTCTTGTACTCTAGTGAATGATAGATCTTTTTGGGTACAAAATGCATTGTGACTTCTCTAGTGTGTTATTAGTAATTAGTGCTAATCTATCTTGATTCCATTTCTTTTAAGAGGAACCAACTGTCGATAGTATGAAAGGGGCTTGTCCTTTTCATCTCTACTCAGGTGGTTGTGTTGCCACTGTGATCCCTGAGATCCCAACATTTGGCCTCCAGCTTCATTTTATTCAACATTTATTTAGCACTTACTCTTTGCTAGGAGCTAAGATCTTTAAGCTGAATTCATGTTGCGTTTTATAAATTCAGTGTGCCAAACCATTTGCACAGAATTCTTAGTAACAGAATAGGATAAAAAGCATTGGAAGCTTCTCAGCAGGTATTTCAAATTGGATACCAGTGGCTCCCCTACAGGGAAAATTAAAGGTCTAAGAACTGCTACTAATTATGCAAAATTCCAGTTAAGTAGTTAAAGTTACCCATGGAATACCTTTTATTTAAAAAAAAAAAAAATCCCTGATACAGCAATTTTATTTCTTAACAAAGAAAAGGTCTCCTCTGTAGTCATGTGATTTTTAAGTGTGGTTTTTAACCTAAATTATCTTGTTTTTAGGAGGTTGCACAAAGAAGTACAGTCTTTAAAACAACCATACCTGAAGAGGAAGAGGAGGAGGAAGAACCATCTGGAGTGGTTGTTGAGGAAGAACTTTTCCACCAGCAGGTATTACTTTACTTTAATTTTTATTAAAAGAATTACAGGAAATCCTATGGGGGGGGGTCTCCCCCCATTTGATGAATCAGAGCAGTGATCTATCAGATGAGTGTGTACTTCCAAAACTGATCGTTCAAGGTAGGGTACTGGTAGAAAGTATTAGTACTTCTTTTTTCTTTTACTTTTTTCTCATTCTGTCAAGTTTTGTTTTCATTTTTATAGGACATGTATATGGCTTATGGCTTAGTATATATGGCTTGAATTGCATGCCCAGACACTTACATCCTGTTGACTTCTGAGATTGACAAGCTTAGATACTCAGACAAAGTGTTTGGATATAAACTTGAACACCAAAGACCCAGGCCTGGTGGTGCATGCCTGTAATCCCAGTACTCTCAGAGGATGAAGCAGGAGGATTACAAATTAGAACCCAGCCTAGGCAATTTAGCAAGACCCTGTCTCTAAATTTAAAAAGGGCTGGGGATAGTTCAATGTGAGGGCCTTGGGTTCAATTCCAGTGCTTCCAGAAAAACTGTTCAGTTTCAATATGAAACAGATTCCTGCTATATTAAGTTCCTAATTATTATCTAATCGCAAGATAGATTTTAGCTGATGCTTGGGCTTTTGAGAGCTCTTGAAACAAAGAAACTCCAAATTCGGTTTTAATTAATTAGAATTATTAATAACTCATGAGCTTTCAGTTTATAAGTTCTTGTCCCTTCCTGATGAGATTTCATCTCCATGTTTCCAGATTTATAAACTAACTTTGCTTTGCTTCACTAGCCCTAGTCCTCTTTTTTTTTTTTTTTTTGTGGTGCTGGGGACAGAGCATAGGGCCTCATGCATGCTAGACATGGTTTACTACTGAGCTACACCTCCAGCCTTTTTAAAAGGTTTTATTTTATTATTTTTTGGGGGGGGCAAATCACTTTATTGGGGGGCTTAGAAGTGGGGAGAAGGAGCTGAAAATACACTTAAGACTCTGAGATCCGACGTCCTTGGCAGGGCTGGATCTCTCCCATTTCGCCGTCGCCAAAAGCTAAAAGGTTTTGAGACAGGGTCTCATTAAAGTTCCTAGGCTGGGCTTGAATTTGGAATCCTCCTACCTCTGCCTAGTGAGTACTCAGTCCTGTGCTAAGTAAATATTCTTTTATGTGTTTTAACCCCTAGGGTTGAGAATCATTTGAGGTAGGTTATATGAGGTAGAATGAGTTTTCTAAAAACTAGATGGCTTCTCAGATATTTGGAGCAGTATTTAAAAAGACACTTTATACTTGGATTTAAAAGAAACAAGCAAAGGGGAGAGGAAGGGAAGGGGACATAAAAATAATTAAAATGTATTATGTATGTATATCAATTCCTCATGATGAATGTAATCATTATGTACTACAAACTGTACTTAATAAAAAGAAAGAAATTAAACCAGCCAAGAAAGCCTTTAGGGTGTGACAAACTTACAGAAGGAATGTTTCAATAAAAGGAATCTAGACTGTGAAAATTAGGTATTCTCAGTTCTCAAAAGTTGCAGAACTGGTCAGTCCAACTTCACGTGAAAAAGCACTAGAGAAACTAGAATAGGCAGTGTAAGCTGAGATTTTTCTCCTAAGAAATAGTAGCGTTAAAAGATCCTTTCACCCATTTCACTGCCTGCAGCACAGAATGGATGCTTGTATTTGACGTTAAGGTGCCTGGGAACCTCCACTGGACTTATGTGGGATGCCACAGAGGGTCTCTAGAAGGTGCTTTGTATCTGGGGCTTCCTAGGAGGAAAAGGAAGGAGCTGGGGATCAAAGACTTAAGCCCCAGATAGCAAAGTTAAGACCTGAAAGCTGCCATTGTATAGACAGTGTCTCCAGAAGAAAAAAGTAAAGTACAGGAAGTTTGAAAGTTATGTGCCTTGTTTTACCACTAAAGAGGAAGGTAGAGACTGCATAGTAAAGTGCCTAGCCCAGCCCCATAGGAATTGTCCATCTAACTTCTTCTCAACAGCTGAGCACCAATCTGTGCAGGCAGCCCACTGCAGAGGGGGGTCTGTCTCTTTTGTTATGGGAAGAAGAAAATCGAGGAGCAGTGAGGCAAAGCCTCTGTCTAGAATGGAACCATAGTGAGGCAGTGAGGTAGGCAGCCACCAGCAGCCTGTGATTCATCTGCAACCAACCAGGAAGAGGTTGGGACTGAGGATCACAATCCTCTTATCAGCATAGTTGCATGTAAGAGATGACAGCTTCATAATTATAATCTTTGCCCTCAGTTGTCTGGTTAATGTATGTCTCATATATTTTTGTATTTATAATGCATAGGAATATGTGATTAAATCAACTGGATACAAAGAATGAAAAAAAAAAAACCAAAACCAAGCACATGATCCATTTCCTGCCCTTAATGACAAACATCATAATGACTAGAAGTAAAAATCACATTATGAGATATCTGAAGTGATCTGCATGAGTTTTGGAAGGTCAGACACTGGAAAAGGCTCTTCAGATCACCAGTGTAGTTGAGAACTCTGAGCAATGATGCTTATCTAGTATTTTGAAGGATGGGAAGTTGTGTATTACAGAGAAGACAGATGATAGTATTCTGAGTAAAGTATCTTTTTACACAGTATTGATAGACTACCCCAAACTTCAGTTGCTTAAAAACTGATTTATTACTTTCCATGAGTCTGTGGTTTGAGTGGGCTCAGCTAAATAGTTCTGCAACTAGTGGAGGTAGAAGTTCATCCTGTAGTTGCATTCAGCTGGTTGCTTGGCTAGGACAGAACAGAATATCCTCCAGGACTCTTGCTTTGTAGCTTCTCCTGGTTCAGTAGTTTAACCCAAGGATGTGTTTGCATCACGGCAACTGGCTAAGAGGGTGAAAATGGAGAGTACCCCGGTCTCTTGAAAGCTAGGGTCAAAGCTGGCACAGTGTCTTTTCTGTTCTCTCAGTCAAAGTAAGCCATAAAGCCAGCCAAGAATCAAGGTAAAGGTAAGGTAAGTAGTCTCCACCTCTAGATGGGAGGAGTGGCAAAGGATTTATGATGATCTTTAATTCACTATAGGATGTGTCAAGATGCAATTGTAATGTCAGGTTCATGTGAGGGAAAATGAAGGATTGGTGGTAAGCGGACACAAATATAGGATGTGTCAAGATGCAGTTGTAATGTCAGGTTCATGTGAGGGAAAATGAAGGATTGGTGGTAAGCGGACACAAA